AGCAGAACAGTAGCAAAAAGCTAAAAGCAGCAGTAAAATAGCTAAAAGCTCAAATTAGCTAACATGTAGCTACAGGCTAAAAGTAGCAGTATAGTAGGTAAAAGCTAAAAGTAGCAGAAATGAAGCCAGTAGCTGGAGTTGACATTAAAAATGTGTTTTTTTGAGATCATCTGAGATCTGGACATGTTTCTGTGGAGAATTTTATTTTTAATTAAATTTAAAAACAAAAGTCAAGCAGCTATCAGCTGAATGAGCTGAACATTTTGATGCATGAACAGCTAAAGTAGCGTCTGCAGAAAAGCCAAAGAATGAAGCTTTCTGTTTCTGTTGGTTCGGCTTCAGTCCAGGTCTGGGATCTGGACCCAGCCGGGCCCCAGGTCCAGTTTGGTGTTCAGTGAAACGTTCTTTAGGTCAATGCTTCGTTGTTTGTTGAAACAGGAAACGAACGAAGCATTTCATGAAGCAGCAGGTGAACCCACCTTCAGGCTGATCTCCTCCCGCAGCTAAAATCCTCCTGCAGAACTCTGAAACGACAGCAGACCCGGATCAGATCAGAACCAACGGGTCGTCCCGCTGAGCTCAGAGGAGGAACCCACCTGTCCATAAACGCTGCAGCTTTCTGAGGATCCTTCGGCTGTTTTTAAAAACAAGAGAAATCACGAAGAGAACCACGAGGACGTTAAAGACCGTCAGACCAACGAGGAACCCAGGAGAACCTTCTGGACCTGCAGGCCTGAAGTAGTCTGAAAACCAAACAGAGCGTGAAGACCAGAACCTTGGAAACATTGGACTCTTATTTTGTTAACAAACACATGAAGAACTTGTCTTGGACTAGATGTTCTGAGTGGAGCTGAATGTTTTTGTGTCTCCAAACCGGTGATTAGGATCCGGTTCTCCTTCATCAAGTGGACTTCAGAAACCTCCGCCCTGCAGATCAACATCACGCTTCCTGTTTGACTTCCTGTTTACAACAAGAAGAAACTGTTTGTTCAAACTGGAGTCCAATAGTTACCTACAACAGGTAAGATATTGATTGTGTAAATGCTCACAGTTTAATTTTTTTCTGTACATTTTTTTTTTTTACAATCAAACTACTTCTGTTTTAGCTGTTCATATATCAAAACCTTCGGCTCGTGTAGGGCCTAGGTGCTCAGACTTTTAGCTTATGTAACATTTATTAATTTAAAAAATATGTTGCTTTATTTACAAACATTTTCTCTAAAAGAAAAACATTCAGATTTCTTCAGCTCCTTCAGAAACTTTGTTCTCTTCAGAATCTACTTCAGCTGCTTTGGCTTTTTTTGCTCTAACTGTAGTTTTTAGCTAACCTTTATTGTTACTTTTAGTTTCTAGCTAGCCTTTTAATACTTTTAGAATTGAGCTAGCTATTAGCTACATTTTGTCACTTTTAGCTGCTAGCTAGCCTTTTGTTATGTACACATTTTAAATAGCATTTTGACATAATTAGCTTGAAGCTAGGTTTTGCTATTTGTAGCATGTAGCAAAACTTTTTTGTTACTTGCAGCTTCTTTCAATACTTTTATCATTCAGCTAGCCTTTCGTTATGTTTAGCATAAAGCTAATTTGTGTTGTTTTTAGCTTCTTGCTAGCCTTTTGTTATATTAGCTTTTAACCAATCTTTTGCAGCATATAGCTTCTAGCTAGCTTTATGCTACTTTTGCTTTTGAACTAGCATTTTTCTGTTTCTAGTTGCTACTTTTAGATTTCAGCTACTCTTTTGTCAGTTTAAGCTTCTTCAGCTGATCTTAAGCTTCTTCAGCTGACATTCGGCTTCTTCAGCTGATGTTCAGTGCTGTGTTCAGACTGACCTTCAGCTGACATTCAACTTCTTCAGCTGACCTTCAGCTGATGTTCAGTGCTGTGTTCAGACTGACCTTCAGCTGACATTCGGATTCTTCAGCTAACGTTCAGTGCTGTGTTCAGACTGACCTTCAGCTGACATTCGGATTCTTCAGCTGACCTTCAGCTGATATTCAGTGCTGTGTTCAGACTGACCTTCAGCTGATGTTCAGTGCTGTGTTCAGACTGACCTTCAGCTGACATTCGGCTTCTTCAGCTGATGTTCTCATTCATTTATGAGTTTACGCATAAAGACAAAATGTCTGAACTGTCCCTTTAACTTAATTTAGACTCAGGACGGACAAGAACACTGACACTTCATCGTGAACCGGGCCGTGCCTGAGTGGTACCAGAACGTTTTAGACTTTAGATGTTGTTGACGATGTAAACAAACACAAACCTCCATGTTTGTTTACTGTAAACAGAAAAGTAAACATCTGTTGTTTGATTTAAAGTCTTCTGATCTGCTCGTTTACCTTCAGCTGCTGCCACGCCCACCCTGACTGAGAGGTCGTAAGGTCCGGGTCCGGTTCTGGTCCCGGTCCGGTTGGCGAGGACAGTTCCTCGGGCGTCCAGCACGGAGACCTTCGGCTGCAGACCTCGGCTGCTGCAGTCGCACTCGAACTCCAGCTGGTTGGTCCTGGAGCGGTGGACCTTCAAGGCCGGTTCTGACAGCTCCACTGGACAACGAGACAGCTGTTAGTGTCCGATGACGACGACGACAACAACGACAACAACGACAACAACGACAACAACAACAACAACAACAACAACAACAACAACAACAACAACAACAACAACAACAACAACAACGACGTGTGTTTGGAGGTCCAGTTTTCATATTTTCAACTCTCTGTGATCTTCCAGATTGCAGTGGAGTCCCCCACAGATTAGTCTTCAGCCCCCCAATCATTTGAGGAATTTTACTTTAAAGCAAAATAAAAACTATGTACGGTGGCGGCCATCTTGGATTTTGACAGTGCCCTTTCTTCTTCGACGCAGCCGACACCAAACAGGAGCAGGTACGTCTCTTATTGTTGGAGTTGCTCTGACAAACAGGACAGAGTATTTCCACTTCCTCCTCTTCGCTCGGCACAAAAACATAATTTAACTTTATAAAACTAAAAGTAATTAGAGACAGTTACGTGTTAATAAACTAAAAAGCATTAGTTCATAAATCAGTGCTGGTAAATAAATCTGGATTTTTTACTGAATCTCCAGAGAAACTCAAACACGTTTTTTTAAACGTCATTAAAAGACGAGCCCAAACCATCAGCCTCCACCACCGTGCTGACAGCTGCAGTGCATTCTGGGTAAAAATCTGTCCCCAGCTCTGGTTCTGGTCCAGAAGTCCTGTGGTTCCTTCAGAGGAAACGTTCCAAGCCTAAGTCGAGACGCCATCTTGTTTTTACAGAGGAGAGGTCATGACCTTTGACCTGCTGACAGGCCTGTAGAGTCACTGCACGGTCTGACCTTCAGGGTGAATCATCTGAACCTTTCTCTCTGTGGAACGACGGACTCTGAATGACCTTTGACCTTCACAGACTGATAGACAGCAGCAGCTTTTCTGAAGTAATTGCTGATGTCTTTCCACCCTGGTGTTGTGTTAACACACTCCTGTCTGCTGCAGACAGAGCTGGTTCTGGACCTGCAGACAGAGCTGGTTCTGGACCTGCAGACAGAGCTGGTTCTGGACCTGCAGGACTCAGTCAGGACAGAAATATTTTCTTACCAACACCCAGACTGACTTTGGCCTCGTCGCGCTTCAGACTTGTCCTCGTTTGGACGACGCACCTGGATCAGAACCAGAAGAAAAGTTCTGTTGGAGTTCTTCTCAAGACGAAGGAGGAAGAACAGACCGACTCACTTGTAGTCTCCGGTGTCGTTCGTCTGGACGTCCTGCAGCGTCAGAGACCCGTCCTCCTGCAGGGACGTCCTGTCCCTGTACTCCTCTGCCTGGTCCCTCATCTTGTGTCCGTCCACGACCACGTACAGAATCTTCTCGGCTCCGTTCAGACGCAGCCACTCCAGCAGCACGACGCTCGACAGGCCCACGGGTTCCGTCACGGCGCCACACCGAAGGACGGCGTCCGTGTGGACGGCGGCGAAGACGCTGGGTGTCCTCAGAGGCCTCCCTGCAGGTTTGACACAACGTTAGCACTAAAGGTGCAGCTCGCTGTCTGTTAGCAAAATATCTCTGGAAGCTGTTCATGTTATCTGAGGTGAAACTAAACGTTCAGCAGAAACAGTCAGAGGTCCGGATCAGAACCAGGAAAGGTCCGGATCAGAACCAGGAGGAACATCAGTCCCTGATGAGATGAACGATCAGCAGCTGTTAGAAGACGGGCACCGGTTCAGCGTTCTGTCTAAAACCAGAGGGACAACTTCAGAATCAAAACTTTAATCTCATCATCTCCAGTCCATAATCTGATCCACAGATTAGAAGAATCTGAAGAAACCTGAGCTCAAAGCATTAAAACCAGGTCTAGTTCTGGACCTGGCTTTATTAAGACCAGGTCTGGTTCTGGGCCTGGCTTCATTAAGACCAGGTCTGGTTCTGTTCACATCTGTGAACAGAACCAGAACCTCTGATGTCTTCTCTGGACCAGAACTCGTTTCTAATGGACTGAGGTGGAGTCCAGAACTGTTCTGAGGTCAGACAGGTCCAAAAGTTCTGTTTGGACTCCACGTCCTTCATTCTAAAGAGGAGAACCATCCAGGCTGGATCAGCTCACAGTCAAACAGCTGCCTCTCTGATGGTATGGGGGTGCATTAGTGTCTCTGGTAGAAGCAGCTGACACATCTGGAAAGACTCCCATCAATGCAGGAAAACATCTGCAGGTTTTAGAAGAACAACTGCTCCATCCAGGACTGAAGGACAGATGGAGTCCTCCATCAGACCAGAACGGGACAGAACCTCCAACAACTGGACTCCTCAAATCCTCCAAAACCTCCAACAGGTGGTCTCCTCAGGTCCTGTAAGACCTCCAACAGGTGGTCTCCTCAGGTCCTGTAAGACCTCCAACAGGTGGTCTCCTCAGGTCCTGGATGTTTCAGACTCCACAGAGGAAACATGGATCTAGTTTATAATATTGATCTCACAGTTTAAGGTCTGGACTCGCTGGAGTCGCAGTGAAGAGAAGAAGGCCTGTTGGACCCGCTGACCCGTTTTGAGGAGGAGGAGGAGGATCTAAGATAAGCCGTGGTCTGAAGGAACGTTACAGGAAGATGCTTTCCAGAAGATGGCTGAAGCTTCACCAGGCGGTCCTCAGTAAACTTCACTGCATCTGTTTCTTTACTTCTGATGTCGACTCTTTTTAATTTGATTATTTTATGAGCAGAAAGAATGGGCTGTCTGTGGGAGGAGTCAGGGGCGGAGTTGACAGCTGTCAATCAAAGTTTAATGAACCTTGAGGTATCCTGTTGTTTCTTTACGGCTGATAAACTTTGGAGTTGATCACTTCAAGATGGCCGCCACAGCTAGTCAGCCAGAGCGAACTCTACACAAGCTCCAACTTCATCAGTTTCTAAGACGATGAGCTAAAATTTGATGTGGTAGTAGCCGAGAGTCATTCCCAACACACAGTGTGAGGGCTAACTGACGCAGTGTGACATACACCAAGAGAAATACAACTTCTTCAGATAATCTCAGATTAACTTCTGTCATTAAAGGTACAACAGGTATGAGACCAGCCTGTATAAATAAAGGTTGAATGAACGTTCAGGTACAAGAACTTTTCCTGCTCGCTCTGGACGACGACACACTTCTCCCTCCTGCTTTGCTCTTTGTCCTGTGACTCCTATCGGAGTCTCTCTCTACAATTCCTCTGAACTGTAAATCATGGATCTGTTCAGCTGGTCTCTCAACGCAATGGATGAAATGTCCTCGGTGAGAAGATGGGGCGAAGGAGAGCCCTCGTGCCTGGATGGGACACTCGCAGCCGGATGCACCGTGGATCCCTGGCAGTGGAAGATCGTGTGTCTGGCCGTACCGTCGGTCGAGGACGTAGAAGTACATAACTGGATTTATGATAAACAGGATTCGTTTTTTTGGAGCTGGCGGACACTTGTCTTATGGACAAATGCAGAAAATGTCGACAGCCGTCCTGGCCGTGGTAAAGCTGCCCGGCATGAAGGAATGTACCGAGCGGTAAACTGTGGACGAGCTGAGCCGTAAGCTGCAGCTCCTGACACTCACTGGCGAGAAGGAATCGACCTTGGAGAAGGCAACAAGCTCGGCCCCGTGGTGTGTGTGGGATCAGCAGTCCGGTGGTGTGTGTGGGATCAGCA